GGCTGAGTCCCCATCCCTGGAGGTGTTCAAAAAATGTGTAGATGTGGCACTTCAGGATATGGTTTAGCAGGCACGGTGGTGTTGGGGTGACAATTGGACTTGATGACCTTTGAGGTCTTTTCCAACTTCATTTCTATGATTTTCTCTGATTTTATCTACCCTCCATCCCTTCTCCCTCCCAAGCTCAACTTCTTCATTCCCAATTCCTCTGCCTCCCGCTCCCAAGCAGTGCAGGGCGATGGGGAATGGGGAGTGTGATCAGTCTATAACGCCTCATCTCTGCCACTCCTTCCTCCTCATGCTCTCCCCCTTCTCCGATGTGGGTTCTTCCCATGGGCTGTAGTCCTTCAGGATAAGCCAGCTCCAGCATAGGCTCTCCATGGACTGCAAAGCCTTCAGGGCATGTCTACCCTGCTGCAGCGTGGGGTCCTCCATGGGCTACAGTGTGGATCTCTGCTCCACCACAGTCCTCCACAGCCTACAGTGTGGATCTCTGCTCCACCACGGTCCTCCACGGGCTACAGTGTGGATCTCTGCTCCACCACGGTCCTCCATGGTGTGTTTCCTCCAGGCTGTGTCCTGCTGTGAGTCTTGTGTGGTGCAGCCCCGACCTCTTTCCACAGAGACCCCCCCCACACTCCCCCACTGCCAGCACTCAGGCACAGACACCCTAACTGTACATCTTGTCCAAGAGAAGACAAACCTTTTTCTCCTGCTCCAGAGGTCTGACTTCATATATACTCAGTATTTATGAAGCTCTGCCAACAATACTACCAAATATTGGGAAAAACCTTTTTTTTTTTCTGTAATACAGCAGCACTGTCACATCAGTGCAACACTGTCCTGGCTGAGAGCACGGAGCAAAGCCAGTGGCTCCACACTGATGTGCTGCACGGCATGGGCTTGCTACGTATATGTGTGTGTGTACACACATATACACACACATGTATATGTATGGGGGTTTGCATGTATATGTATGTGTGCATATACATATGTATATATATGCTCCCTGGGCAGCGGGAGCCTTTGGTGCAGTTTCAATGCTCGGCACTTTGCAGGCAGGCTGGCAGCAGGCACAGGCCGTGGGTTTCTGTCACCTCGACAGCTCTCACAGCATCCAGGGTACAGACCCTCTGGCACAAAAAAAAAAGTCTGATGCAAATTATACGTGTGTTATTCAGAAGCAGCTGTGCTTTGAAGGCTGTTTCCTATCCTTTGCATGTCCATGCAAACCTCGGTGAGTGGTAGGGAGATTCTGTAGCAGAATATTCCTAATATTTACATGTTAATAATATTTACATGCCAATATATGTAATATTTCCATATTGATGCAAATGGTCCCCAGGAACCGAGCAGTTGCTCAGCCCAAGGTAGGCAGGCGTACGTTCATGCAGCCAGCAGCACCTGGGCTCAGACACGAAGCGTGCAAGGACCACAGCAGTGCTAGAGGGGCTGAACTGGGATTAAGGGAAGATTTGGATGCTCATAGCCCCGTTTAGATATGCATGTCAGCCCTGCGTTTGGCACGGGCTGTTATTTTAAAAATTGCTTTTTCTCCCTTTTTGCATGAGAGGCAAACATCCAAATCTGATGTGATGCTCTGTAACAAAATATCCCTCATATTTACATAGCAACACCATAGACACGCTGAGCAGAGGGCAGACCTCCTCTGCGCCGCGCAGCATCAGCGTGCAGGCACACAGACTTCATGTTCTGCCTGCAGCACACAGCGGCACGGCCCAGCGCCTGTCGGGGCTGGGGAGCACTGCCTGACCGTGGACTGCACCCCCAGACCTTCTGCACGCCTGAAGGAGCAGAAAGTAATTGTGATTATACTACAAAGGCCAGTAATTCCTCCTAGTCACCTCCAAGTTTGCTGACATGAGGAGGTGAAACTCTTCCAGGAGGGTGAAGGCATCCACTGTGGTTACAAATTATAGTGACCGGGCTTAGAAAAAGGGTTTCTGAGCCTCAGTGATAAACTCTTTGCTGCCCACAGGCTGTGTTATGGCTGTGAGGTGATCATACAGGCTTCGTGTGTCTTATAAAATGTCCTAGGCATGGGCACTCCAAGCATCTTCCCAGTTATTAAGCTCTCCCAGTCATGCTCCTGGCTGAGCCACGCAGCCGCAGGGCAAGTCAGGCCAGCACGTGGTGGCTCTTAAAGACAAGGTTTCCATCTTAAATTAGTCATTCACCTCAGAAAACCCTCGTCAGCTACACGAATGGCCCTAGGCTGTTGCCTAGTGGTTCAGATTGGGGTGTCAATCATTCTGTCAATCACCCTGTCAATCATTCTCCCAGCCACCTCCACCAGCGCAGGCATCTCTGCCTGCCACGGTATCACCCATCGGCATCATCCCTGCAACCCCCCACCGTTGCTGTCACCTCTCCACCACGGCTCTGGTGCACAGCCATGAGCACAGCAAACGCTACAGACGTGGCAGGACTCGATAAATGGGATTTAAGGGCGAGATTAGTGCAAAACCGACGGCATTAAATAGGTGAGCGATGGCGATAAACGATTAACGGAGGGCAACGAGCCTGCAGACCTTTCACTGCCCCGCGAAGACAATTTTTACCTGTTCTGATACCAACACTAAGCAAGCCGAGAACTGAAAACAGTATAAAGAGAAAACCCTCCTCTGGAACAAAGTGCCCCGTTCACAAAGAGCTGGCAGACCTGAGCTTCTCCCACCTAGGGTCTAGGCAGTAAAAAAACTAATAAGCAAAGCATAACTATCAGCCACTTGTTATTTAAATTTCTTTAACTGAAGGTCTAAGGGCAATAAGAGCTGATTCTTCCGCGTGGGAGGGAGGTGGTGAACAGCGAGGGCTTGCAGCGTGTCAGCTCCATACGCAGCGAGGCGTCAGCTGTACGGTGTCCTGGACGTGGGGCGGGCAAGTAAAGTGCAAAGGTCCCGTCAGCTTCCATAACAGCCAGAGCTTAGCGACAGGAATGTACGGCTGCCCTGGGAAGTTTTCTGGGCTCTGTACAGGGGGATTTTGCACTGTTTGGGTGTCGCTGCCTACGGAGAGGACACTGAAGCTGTGTCAAGATTAAAGGTGGGCATGGAGCGTTTCAGCGGGAGCCAACACGCTGTACTGGCACAGCAAAGGGACAACAGTTTCTACAGAAAGGCTTATGTGGATTAATGAAAGGTGCTATTGGGTAGGCACTGGCCACCTCAGACATTTGTGCAGCCGCCGTGCCTGACTTTGAACTCGGCAGCTCTTTTGCTGAACTGGCAAGCTGGAGACAATGAGCTGGTTATGTGTCTGTAAAGAAATCCATGATTTATGTGGTGCCAAAGAAGTCTTGAGAACGTGACAGCAGTAAAAAACACGTCAGTAAAGGACTATGGCGGGACTATAAATCCACAGAAATCCCAGGGGAGGAAAAGCCTTTGGGTGCTCTCAGCGCTCAGGGTCTGGCGTGGGCAGGTTTTACAAGCAATGTGATTAAATGCCAGGTAATTGTGGGGCTGCCATCTGCACTGAACAGGCTGGTTAGCCTGCGGTGCTCTGTCCCACTGCTTTAGAGAGATGCAGGTAGGGGACACTGCTCAGAGATCTGGAGGACACCAGCCTGATCCAAGGAAACAGCTGTGCAAGGATGAAAATATCTGTGAGCCAAACCCGTGGCTGAAAAACAGCAATGATAATTGGGAACTCTTTAAAGGCATATTACTAGCTGCACACGGTGCCACAGTGATAACCATAAAGAGTTAAGACAATAAAGAGTTTTCCAAAATTTGGAAGTAATATATGGCCATCCTACTAACAGATCAGACTTTCACTGCAAGAAAAGCCAAATGAGATCCATACACTAACATTACCTCCTAAAGGGTTGTTCTTAAACCATTCAGCCTGTGTATTCAGCATTCACCACCCTAAGGGGTTAATACTTGTTAGTTCTTGCTTTCACTTCCATTGCTCAATCACTCTGTAGTATCCTTCTAAAAACAATGATGTCATGAAGTAGTAACGATTTTGACAACATACCAAGGCAAACCACAGAAGGAGGTGGAGTAAATGAATATCTTCCCAATGGCTTCCCCATAACAAAACCCAGATATCCTTATCTACTACTTCATTGCTGATGGCTTTAGTAGGCTTTAGGTGGAAAGATAAGTAACACGTTCCTATTTGTTCTGGTCCTCTGTGTAGCAGCCAATTTAATTTTCATTGCTGCAGCCACCTCACCATCACTACTCACTTTTCTAAGAACTTGGTGCAGTCTTGGTGACCGTAGATCTCCGCGAGCCTCTTGGGAGTGTCACCGAAGAGGTCGGCCGCGTCCATGGCAGCGTGCAGGGAATGCAGGGTGCGGAGCACCCCCAGCCTCCCCGACTCGGCAGCGAAGTGAGCCGGAGTCCAGCCCACGTCGCTCCGCAGGCAATGCCGGGCACCGTGACCCACAAGGAGCTTGACCAGCTCCGATTGCCCTTGGGTTGGGCAGCAAAACAGGGAGAGAAGATGCAGCTGTATTAGTCTTTATAACATCAAGATGCAGCAGATATTTGCATACATTTGATCATAATTCCCTCGGTCGTATAATGATGGATTTTACCCATGCCCTAGCCATTTGATTTATCAAATAAATGATACATGTTGGAAAATGCTGATTTTTTTTTTTTCAGTGTAGACCGCTTCCAGAAGCATTTTACAACAAAACCACCATTAAAATAATTAGTCAGTGACTGATTGGCTACTGACTATTGTGTTGTTTCATTTTGGTTTTTAGTTCAATGCAAATTAAAATTTAAACAATTAAAAATTGGAAAGCCTGTGAACAGCTTTACTAAAACAAAGGTACAAGATAAAGAAATTATTTGTTTTCATTCACCTTCGCATTTTTCTAACTTGTGAAATTGCTTAAAGAAGCGAAAAAAAAAGCTATTTCTAGCCACTTCGCACTGCCTTTACTGAACTAGACGGCTCCCAACGGCAGCTAGGCCATGCCAGCCCCTCCTCATCCTTTCAGAACAGCTTATTGCTATGGCAATGTGGTTTTCTTGCCGGCCATGGTTTTCAGTGTTTATTGTTTTGGATTTATCGGAGGCTGCTGTAGCATTTATAAATCTTCATTCCCCGATTTCATGCTTTGACAGTTTACATTTTTAATCACACTAACTGTCTACATGCAATGTTGGTGCATAGCTATATATACACGAAACAGCTTTTTTTTTTTTTTTAAATTGCTCATTTCCCTTTTCTGCTGCCAAATGAGTAATCAGGGCAGAAGTAAAGCATGGTGTCAGGTGTAAACCAGCAAACCACTCTTGATTTCTGAGCAAAGACAGATGCTACAATGTGAGAGCCCAGCATATAACAAGCACCCTAGCACCGAAGAGTACTTGTTCAGTTTTCCATTTTACACTGTGGACAGTTATATGCTAGATATTGTTGTATTCACCTCTTCTTGGGGCTGCAAAGGGATATTTGACTTTAACAGACACTTCTGATGGTGAAGGACCAAATGGGAGCTGCAAACAATGCTGGTCCTGTTTTGTTCATTTGACCAGGCAGGATAAATGGAGGGTGATGTAAAACACACTGTATTAATTTTGTTATATCAGATTTGATAAATATCTGGTATAAATGCAGTTGGTTTGACTTTCTGCTCATTTGTGCAGGTGCACTGCATGAAGCTACCTCTCCAGAAAGTAATGTGGGGGACAAGCAAACATGCTGTATGTACACAGAGTGTAAACTGTATATTTTAAAAGCTAAAAAATCACTTTGATGGTAATCCCATTCATTATTTTGCAGCCAAAGTTGCCATTTAAATTGGTATTTTTTTCTTTTTCCTCATTAAGGACAAAAAGATCAGATATCAGGTGTGACTATCGCCAGCACTAATCGCCATCAGAGCAAGGTGCAATTACCATCAGCAACACCTTTAACGATGCTAACGCTGCGGTAACAGAGCAGGGGGTGCCCTTACCCTTTGCAGCAGCCCAGTGCAGCGGGGTCCTGTCGTGCCAGTCGGCATCCTTGTGATTTGGGTCGCAGCGCCCTGTCCTCAAAATCTCATCCACCAGGTCGTAGTCCCCCAAAGCCACGGCTTCGTGGAGCTCTGTCATGCTGCACACTTCAGGAAGACGCCTGGGTGATGGTCCTTTAGCAAGTGTTTGCTGATGTATCAGCTCCTCTCAAGAGCAATTTTAACAGACCAAGCAGCATCTGGATTAAAAATGAGACGTGCACTATGAGAAACAAGGATTTATCCAAAAAAAAAACAAAACAAAAAGGAACGATAGTGGTGATGTTTAATTTACAGTCACGAAAATCTAGAGCAAAGTGCAGCCCTTTATATAAAGGACAAAAGCACATGGCATTTCTCAAGGATGTTGCTAACAAACAGCCAGCTCAGGCCAAACATTTGCCGCCGGTCTATTGGTACTCACTTGCCATGGAAACTGGCTCCTCCCTTGCCAATGCTGCTGAGCCTTACTGGTGGAATTTTATTGCAATGCAAGAATTGTCTGCGTGAGTATCTTCTGACTTTCTTTGGTGCAAATAACATAGCTACGCCACGCTGCTTAAAAATCTCCTCTCCATAACCACGTTTTGCACTTTCCAGACCCCCATCAAGAAACTCAAGCAGATCTTCAGCCCCTACAAAGCTGTGGATTTCAATGATTATACCTGTGCTAGGGGATATTTCCTTGCTGCTTTGCTGGCAAGGAATTTAAATAGCTTGCCAAATCACTGTGGTACCCCTGAGGACGGAAACGCTGCAATATTTTCTCCAGCCTGGCCAAATCAATGGGGAGAAAACTGTTCTATTCCCATATTGACAGCTGGTCTTGAGCTAATTAGTCCAGCCCCCCTCATAAACCAGAAGAGTTCTAGGATTTGCTCCAGCTTTGCCGTTGCCTTTACTTCATGGAGTAATTTTCACAGATTGAAAAGAGTGCGATTTCCACGTTCAGCTTGTTGGAAAGGACCAAGATCGCAGCTTAGAGGCTGATGAGAGGGAAGCCTAGGGGCTACATCCAGGGATCCCAAGGTGGATGGGGCCATTTCCTTGCTCCCATCTCCCACAAACATCCCAAACTCATCCCAGATCCAGGCTGGAAGGACACACCACCTTCCTGACCCAGTTTTTACGTAAGAAAAAGATGAGATACAAAGGTCAGAGGGAATCACAGCCTGCTTCAGCAGGTCCCCGGACTTAGGTGGTTGGACTGTGTAGACCAGATCCAAGAGACAGACCCATACATGACTTCTACTGAGTTTGACTCCCATATGTCTGGCAATATCTGAATATTTTAAAAAATGCAATAAATTTTGGAGCTCCTCAGTGGGCCACAGAAGTATCATTGGCTTTAGTATGTCTCTGTTACTTTAACCACTGCTGCACCACCTCCTCCTCCTCATTGCTTCTCACCAACCTTGAAGAACCTGTTTCTTGGCATCTTCTGAGTTGTCCTCCAAGGTCTTTCATCAGCCCTAAATCCGTCCTGGAAATGTTACACTTTAATGCATCCAGCCCGTCACTGTAATGAGCACTGGACAAAAATACAGGGGAAAAAAAAAACCCTCTTGGACCTTTTCACACAACTTTCTTCTTCTTTTCCAAGGAAATGCAAATAAAATTCAAAGTTTAAAAATCTAATTTAAATTTCAAGCAACTTTGTGCTCTGCTAGCCTCAGATCTTGAGCGCAAAGGGAGAGGAAGTGAATGGACCCCACCCCGAGAGCTCACCAGCTCTCCAAGGAGACAATCTATGGGTGCAGCTTCACAAGCAATTTAGGTCGAGCCAAATGCCAAATTTTACCTTCCCCCCACCCTCCAGCTGCACCCCTTTGCCAGCCTCCTTACCTGGATCAACCTGTTGCTATGTCTGAAAACTCATTTTTATTATTGGTGCAGGTTTTTGGGTTAATTCCCCAAACTCTGCTTTACTGAGAGGGGGAAAAGCCGTGGCTGTGCAAACGCAGGGGTGCAGATTTGCCCTGTCAGTAAAGCACCTGCGCTTGATCCACCTCAAACCGCCCCAGAAGCGGGACCAGCTGCCTTAGGGGGTGGTTATCCCCTGCTCGTAAGGCCAGATGAAAAGATTTTTGTTTTTATGGAGGGCCCTTGAGCCGAAGGCCTCCCCTCCTCGCCCAGCCGTTGCAGCTCCTCCGTGGGACCTCACGACCCAGCCGGCGGGATTTTCTCATGGGGATGGCGGGGCTTGATCCAGCCCC